TTTTAAATATTTGTTATTGCATTTATGTTAATCTGATATAAGCTATACCTACGTCTATCATGTTAATGTTCTTAGAATAACTAATTTTTATTTCATAATAGTTCGTATCCTGAAAATTGACCAATAAACTGACCAATCTATTAAAATATGAATAAAGCTTTTTTTAGTAATTTATTGGGTAAAGACTTCTAAATAATAAGCAAGTTGGAACACTTAATCTAATGTTTCTATGGTGAATAAAAGAAAATTATTATAATTAAACCACAAAATGTCACAGTTGTAAACAAAAATCTGAAGGAATTTGTTGTTGAAATAATACAGTTATAAAGGCTATACTGTATACCCTGCATCGGACCGTGAACGTAATTGACCATTCCGATACTGTTTTTAAGAATATCATATTTATAACTGTATTATTTTAACAAATTTTTGTTTACAGTCATTTACTACATGTCAGTTTTTTTCTTTTTTTAAAGAACGTAATATTTACAGATAGCACTCCCTTCTGTTTTTCTTAAAAATAAGAAAAAGAAGAGCTCTTGATACAAATGACCTTCACAGTACTAAAGAGTTCGACTTATCGTCAGTAAAAATTAGGAATTTTTTTATCGATTAAAAAAATTACGACGAGTTAAAGTGAGAGGTATCAATTTTGTAGGCTGAAAATTGTGATTTTTTCAACATTTTCATTAAAAACTAAAAAATTGGATAACAAAACTAACTGAAATTTTAGCACACAATAAAGTAATAGTGAGGCTATATATGGTCCAAATTTCAAATTTTTTTGCCCCTACGTTTTCTTAATATCTGTTTCCAAACTCAGGGGTCTATTTAATTTATATTGATAGTGGGTACTAATATCAGTGAAAGAAAGTCTTAAAACTAGTACTTATATTATATCATACTGGATGTACATCACTTACTCAGTAAATCTTTCGCATAATATTGTAGTTGCGTGGAATGCGTTCTTTCAATAAAATAAACCATTTATCACAAACCGCGCTTTTTACTTATCAGGTGAAATCTGAATACATTAGTGGTTGGAATTTCTACTATCGTTTCTAGAGACATGTCAAGTTTCAATTACATGAAAAATAGTCAATTTTGTGACGTCCACCAACCGGATTTTTTACTTTTACCTATTTCATAGAGAACTTCACAATTTTAGCAGTTTTGTAGATGACTGGTACCCAATTTTAAACGACTCTTATTCTTTCATCATAAAAATTAGATAATAAGAGAATTGCTGATGCTTGATACATCATTTTTCTTAATATTTAGAGTATATCTATTCCGAGATTTTTTCATGTTAAAAATATATCATTTGAATTAACTTGAAAAAGTAATTTTTTTCAATTGAAACATTTCTGACGCTGTAAAATATAAAAAAAATACTAACAGAAAATGAGCTTCTAGCTAATATTAAAAACTAAGTTCAAGAACAAGTTCTGCGCCGTCAATTTACATAACGAGAATGAAGGATTGCAGTCGTGTGCCGTTTTTTTCTTGCGTGAGTGCCGTTTTTATAAAATAAATGAGGAGAGGTTATTAAAACTGGCGGTAGTAACTGCTTGCAAGTACATCCTTATACCTAGTCAAGAAAATTTGTTCTACGTCTTACCCGCATGCTGAATATGTTGCATAAGAGGATGGTTAGTTGTTAATAACCACATATGCACAGTGGAACTAAAATGCTTAGTAAATTTTAATAGCGAATCTACAATGTATATTGATTAAAAAAAAGTTGTACGATCTTTCTCCATTGTGGATTATTTCAAGAAGTGAAAACTATTCGGTATAGACGTAAATATATGTAAATTCTACTGTATTTATTTTACGAGGCCTGTTCAGAAATTAACCAAACTTATTGAATTACACTCTAATGGAGATACTTAGTGATATGCGGTTGGCAGCATTGTGCATAACCTCCTATGTAACCACATGTTCCTGAATTGTTGATATCTTATTTAGTTTTCGTGGTATTGTGATTTAAGTGCAACGTGTTTTGAAATGTGCGATTTTCCTGAGCAACGATACAACGTAAAATTTTACTGAAGCTGAGGAAAACTTTCAAGAAAACTTTTGAAACAAGCTTACGGAGATGATGTTTTGGGTCTTACGTAATGTCACGAATGGTTTTCACGATTTAAAATTGATCGTTAGTCAATTGATGATCTTCGACCAGGAAGGCTTTCAATTTCTTCTGATGATCAAAGATCTGGTTCGTACAAATCGCCGATTTTACTTTCAGAGAAATTGCAAGAGGTCAGCATCTCAAATGGGTTATGCCATGAAATTTTAACTGAAAAATTGGACATGCATCCAGTTGCAGCAAAACTTGTTCCTCGTTTGATGGCAATGACAATATAATAAAAAAAAAAAAACAAAAAAAAGAAAAAAACCCCAAAACCAAAACCAAAAGCCTGGGCCGAAAGGGGGCTACACTTGAAAAAACGTGGACAAACACCCATTATCCATCGACATTGCCAGTACCGACACCGGGGATCGAACCCGGACCAGAGTAGGAAGCCTAGCCGAGAAATGCTTGCCACCGCACTCTCGACCGACTGCGCTACCGTGGCGAAATGGCAATGAAACATGAATTCAAAGGATCTTGACGGGAGACGAAAGCTAGGTTTACGGCTACGACATTGAGACAAAAGTTCAATCATCACAATGGATTGGCAAAGGATCTCCACGCCCTAAGAAAGTCTCGATCAAATACCAAAGTGATGCTACTGTTTTTTTCGACTTTAAGGGAATTGCGCATTTTGAATTCTTGCCTCAAGGTGAAACAGTGAATCGTGTGTACTATTAAGGCGTTACGTGGAAAAATTATGAAAAAGAGACCAGAGTTGTGGGAAACAATATCGTTCATGCACCATGATAATGTGCCCGTACATCAATAATGTATAAATTTCATAATAAAGTTTAAAGAAATAAAGTTTATTATGAAGATTATTTTCTGAACAGACCTCGTATTTCCTTCCAGTCTAACGTGATTATTTAAATTATTATTTATGTATTAGGCACTTGATAAAACAATGCCCAATTATAATATACAAGGGCAAAATATATCTTTACGACATTGATTATAGAATATACAAAAGTAATTGTTCAATATCTCAACAATTATATTTAGAGAAATTTAATTTTGAGGTATCGTCCATATTTTAAAGTTATTTTTGACTATACAAGGTGTTTTATTTTAAAAACACCTTATATTTGGGTACACATAATCGAAATCTGCGCAAAAATGCCTTTACGGTCATATAGTGCTTTAGGTATATTTCAGTAGTTTTGATATAAGAAGTAGTATCCATTGATTTATAAAAAAAATGGTAAGCAAAAAATATAAATAACTTTTTTCTATGGTAGATTTGTATAACATATTTGGTGTAATTTGGAATATGATGTTAAAGCTTCTAAAATAAAAAAGGGTGTATTCCAGTAGGTATTCCTTTTTGCCAAGAAAACGTAAAAATTTTTTATTTCAAAGGAATATCCATTTTTTTATTCTATTTTGTGCAAAATTATTTTTTTCCATCCGTTATGGGTGCTGCAAGATTTAAAGTTATAATTTTTACAATTATTTGTAATTTTCCTTCATTTTCAAGAACTTTTCATAAAGATTATCAAACTATTCATGAATAAGTAAGTACAATAAAAATTTTAATTCTATAAGTCTTTGTTATTCATTTTACAAAAAGATACTATGCCAAAATGGATGAACTTGTTTTAACTGAAGACCTAATTTTATGTATTACAGTTACGACAAAAAAATAGATAGACAGATATGTTTATCTGTCATGGTATCTAGATTTTGTTATTTCATATATTCATTTATTTTTTAAATGCATGAAATGTAATACAAATAAGTAAGTAGAGGAAGACTATTTTTTTGTAAACACCTATCGTAAATGTTAAACATACTATTTCAAAGTTTGCAAAATCAACACAAATATTAATTCCAAAATTTGATTACTCATGGCTAGGATAAAGTAGATAAAGTACTTATATTTAGCCAAAACATTCATGACCATTTCGATTGCGTGACTGTTTATGAGAAATCAAGAAAATAACAAATATCTTAAAAGACGCATGTAACTTTCATTTTTAGATAATTTTATTTTTAGAGTACGGAACATGTACAGGATGTTTCAGAAAGACCTTCCGTAAATTCAGGGGGTGATAGTACGATAAAAATAAGAATTTTTTGTCTTATGAACTATATGTCTATCTCCTCTTGTTTTCGAGATACAGAGCGACACAATAAAATTTTTTAAACAGAATTTTTACGAAAATTTCCAAACGGTGCGAAATATTTTTATGAAATTTGGTATTCCGGGGTTTTTAAGGACGCCAAATACGTTGGTCTAATTATTTTTTGGAAATTTTCCTAAAAATTCTATCTAAAAATTTTTATTTTGTCGCTCTGTATCTCGAAAACAAGAGGAGATAGGCATATAGTTCATAAGATAAAAAATTCTTATTTTTTGTCGTACCATCACCCCCTGAATTTACGGAAGGTCTTTCTGAAACATCCTGTATAAGCCGGTGCGAATACTTTTGAGTATACATATATTTTTTTAATTCAAGAATCTGCGACATCACATATTGTACCAAAAATAACACAAATCTGACATACAAGAAAAGTGAGCAAGATGTTGGTAATTTTATTTTTAATCAACTACTGAAGAAATATCAAACATAAGTGTATTTTTCACAAGAGTTCAGTAATGATTGTATAATGTTGTTAATTTTTCTGTCACAAAAAACGAATTTACCAATTCTGATGAAGTTGTAGGTAACGCAGTCATTTTTTGAATGTATCATTGCAAACATTAATTCTTTCCGATCGACATAGTTCAAGATCAAGCACATTTCGTAACTGTAACACCACCAACAACCATTATTATATACCGATTTCCACCGGCCAAACGCGTCTAAAAATCGACATAACATGTGCCGTTTTGCATGTGAAATAGGCGGTATCTTACCTGATTGAAATAAGGAGGTAGCCTGCATCTTTGGTCATCTAGCCTAGAGCTCTGGGCCTTCTCGAGCAGCTCGAAGAGGTCGTGGGTCGTTCCTTTCAATCTGTCCGGGCTCGGCTTCGCCTGCGGACTCTGCACTCCCGATAGGGGGCTACCATGCCACGTCGTGCTGCTTTGATGCTGTCTCCTGCAACGAAAACGATGTTTCGGTGAAAAATTACGTCAATTAAATCCTTAAATAATTATAGAATTTGTACGAGAACTTAGATCCTTCTCCATTCATTTTCAAATCAATAATAAAGTATATTTTTCTTGTTTACATCATGTATAAACACGCCGCCTCTTTCCTATCTTAAAGATTTCTGTAATGTATACGATTTTCTGCACAGGGTCGTTGACATAAAATTCTAGCCCTTTATCTTTCTTATCTTTCTGTTTAGAAAACAATAAAGTCAAGATTGCCATGGAACACGTGCATATTGTTCTTTGCCGCTATTAAATATACAAATTAAATCTTTAGATACTTTATTATGAAAAATAGTACCTACCTACAATACTATAAAATTAATTTTATAATAAACTAATCATGTTCTAAATAAAGGACATATTTTTTAAATAAATTTTGTTTATAAAGGGTTATTTTTATGATTAGCAAGACCAATTTGATATCGATGAAGTTATTTCTGAAAGACAAGTAAACAAAGAAAGATCTAATAATAAGGTGGGCATAGAGATATCAAAAGAAAGAGTTTCCATATATGACCCTTGTCTACAACCGGACGAAGGTATTATAAAATACCTTTTATACGATCTTAATAGAGAATTAAAAGTTTTGTTTAGTGAATTAAACAGCGGGGACATGGCAATCTTGACTATCAGCAGGATGGGTATATAAACTAAAATACTGTGCAAACTGTCAAAGCATAATTATACGACATGTATATATGATTTAATCAGAAAAAAAAGAGAAAAATTGAAAATATTAAGTACTTATATCAGATATATAGGGTGTTCTATTTAAAAGAACAAAAAGTTTGGCTAATGTCTTCGAAATGTAACAGTCCATTGTTTTTTTACATACTGATTTAAAATCGCAAGAAAGTTAGCTAACACTTTCGTCTTTGCCATGTTCCCTAGACAGAAAAGTAAAAAAAAGATTCGTTATTTTAAATAGAGTAGGTATATTTTTGAAGATTTGAAAGGAAGGTAATTTTGACATATAGCGTACTAAATATCTAAACCTAATCATTTCGGCATTATTTAAAATGTATATGATAAAAAATATTTGGCAAAGAAAATTATAACTTTTCTCATATATGCGATGCGCATTTGTTCTTTGACACAGAGTGATATCAAAAGGTGGTCCTTTAATAAAATTAAAATAAATTTTAAAATCATATACCGAGTGTTTCAATTATTTAGTTATATGTATTATGCCAACTTCCTCGAAAAATACTCTAATTTCTTTGCTGTAAGTTGAGTAAAATTATATTCTCTTTTATTTAGTTTAGGCATTATAAAAGTTAAAATTACAGTTAAGTAATTGAAATGTTTTTTTTTCAAAATTAATCGCTATTTTAAAATTGCCATTAAAAGATCAGTTTGCTGCCAATCAATTGAAAAAATGCTTGTTATTTGTCATTATCAGTTTCATCGACTTAATTTAATTTTTCGTTTCCAATTTCCGTAAAGCTAAACAAAAATCAGAGCTGACTATCGTAAAGTATCAAACTATACCTACAGAGGTATAGACAAATAAAAAAACCTACAGAAAATATTACATGTTTTCTTTTATCCTTTTTATTTTTAAATGTATACATTTTACTTTATCTATGCTCATATTACTAGATTATATTTTAACGTTAGTCTACTTCTTACATATTTGTTTAACCTATACGTTTAAATTTTTTATTTAGGAAGTGCCAACATTTTTTAAATAAAACTAGAAACATTTGTATTCTTGAGAAGAATGCGATGAGATCACAAACAAAATTCGAAACGAATGCAATGAATACTAACATGCTCACAAATAAACATAAGGATGAAATGAATTATATACAGGGTGTTTCTAAACTATGGTGCCAAATGAATATGACAGATAGAAAATGTCATTTTGAGCAAAAAGTTTCATGTAAACATAGGTCCGAAAATGCATAATAAAAAAGTTACAGGGTGATAAAGGTACAGTTTGAGAAACAATTTTTCGCAATAACTTCAACAAAAGTTAGGCAATTTAAATGGATCTTGGTGCAGTTTCTTAGACACTAAAATGCAACAATTTGGTGAAAAAACAATTTATTCCCATCGCCCAGGAGNTTAAATTCCCCAGTTTCTTCACTGAGTGAAAGCATATAACTGATGCATTCCATATCAAATATTTGATTTTTTAAATGCTTTTATTCACTTATCGTGTCACCATTTTCACATAGATACGACACATGACAAGAAAGAATGCTAAGGAGAAAGTTACCAGACATTATACCAATTTTGATGGTGATGATAAAGGAACATATATTGCTTAACTTATTACAAGTTTAACATACTCGTTTATCGTTCCATATGTTATATATTTACTTCCTGATTCATGTCAAAGCCATTGCATTATGTCTTTCATTGCATTATGTATAAATAAAATGCTAAATATTAAAAATTTTAATGCAGCCTACGTATATTTTTATACAGTCCATTCATAACTTCAGGACGTTGTTCATTGAATCATTTTATACGAAAGATGCTAAATGAACCAAGAGTTGAAACCCACTGATCTCCGAAACACAGGGGTCATTATTATTAATTCAAAATAAATCTTTAACTCGCCAAATATAAATAAGTTGTTTAATTGGATCTAATAAATTTTACTTCTCTCGATTAAATCCTTCCTTCAGTGCACCCTGCATTTTTACCAAAACTATTGTCAAGTGATTTCCATTGCAAGCAAGCAGTTGTCTTATCTTACACGTATCTGTAACAACCCACCGACGACACTTTAAAGAACAAAGAAAACCGATTAAATTACAAAATAGATCGTCGGTACTCCACGCTCCCTTGTTAAACCAACCAAAGCGATTTTTTCGATCGATCTTATCGCGCACTAAAGAATCGTCTTCCAATATACCTTGCTCGGCAATTTGTTCGAGCCGTTTCCAGATTAGCATAGTTTCCTCATCGATAACTGTACACCACCCGATCACAGATTCTGATCTAGGTTGGTGTAACGAGATGATGGCAGCGGAGTAAAGTACTAGTTCCAGACAGCGCTGCGAGTCGCACCTCTGCATCGGACGGGAGTAGTAATTTCACTTGCAAATTTAATAGCAGGCTCCGAGTGAGTACAGGGTGATTAAGGAAACGCGTACAGTCGGTTAGCAGGTGGGTTTCTTACATATCTTGTGTGCCAAACGTCGTTAAGGTTGGAAATAGAGTATTGCTGGTTGCCTATTTCCTATTAAGAACGAATAGAAAACTCACTGGCCTTTAATCTAATATATCTTCTCCAAATAGTGAAAAAAAATTATATGATAAGATTCTATGCAGCACTATATGATAAAGCAAAAATAAAATGTAGTAACTAAATCTTTAATGAGTATTATAATTAATTTATAAATATTACGTACGTGTTTAAAAGTAAACGATTATTTCTTTACAAAATTATAGATAAGTTAATTTTTACTTGGTTACCTTATGATAAATATGCGATGTTCAAAGTTTAATTCATGTTTTGTCCAACACTTCCTTAATTAGTTAGATACACAATTAGAATAAAATTGTCATGACTGTATTATTCACCGCTACAGTTAAGTATATGTCTGACATTTAATTCAGATGATCTGAAATAGATGTCACAAGAACAATTAAGGTATTTTTTTATAAACGACCAATTTTTAATGGTTAATGGTTAAATATCCCTAACTTTGTTCTCATAATTTTGTATTGGAAATCATAGCTTTGCCCCTCATTGTATAGTTGTCATGATGTCAATTGGAACCTGTAAATCTTAAAGCACAGGACCGTATGCACTTCTCCTGAAATTTCTTTCTATGCTTTGACCATGATGTGTCTCGTAATTTATACTCGAATAGCAATTCGGCGAGTCTGGTATTGGTAAACTAGTCCGCCTGATGTAGAATTGACGGCGGCGCGCTGGTCATCAAAGCAAACCTGTATTGGTCC